AAGGTCAGAGCAAGTGAATTTTGAAGGAAGAAGGACATAGCAGCTGCAGTTATGTAACTTTGGGAAGGTAATGGTAAGTTACCTTAAAGGCAGGTGGTAAATAGGCAACAGTGCTGGGCAGGGAACCAAGAGATACAGGCGTTAGATCTGTTTCTGTCACTCTCCTCTCGGGACCCCCTGAAAGCAGGGAATCAGATGCTCTCCACAGCCCTTCCAGCTCTAACGCTTTCCAACTGCGTGTGATCACCACATTCACAGGATGCGGGCGCATCATAAAAAAGAACACTGCCAAACAGCATACCTGACATCCTTCTCCGGGTTGATATTCTTTTCTCTCATTATGTCTTCTATGCACTTGTCCACTTCACTCTGAACAACAAGTGTTGCTTTCTGTAAAACCTACAGATGCGATAAACAGCTGATTGAGAAAAATCCCCCGCCGAAAAAGAACAGTAAATTTTGAGGTATTTAGTCAACTCTACAATGCAGATTTTAAATGCAAACCGAAACCAAATTTGTTTCAAATTTTCAGTAGGGCTTAAATCACTCAACCAATTAATTAACTGAAAGAGAAGCAACATGTTTCAGAAGAAGACTTCCTTAACTGAAAATGAACAGGTTCTCTTGGCGAATGAGCTACCACCACAGTGTTTATGAAGTAGACACTTCTTATAAAATTCAAAAATTACATAAAAATATATGTATAGCCCTGACTGGTTTGGCTCAGTGGATAGAGTGTCAGCAATAAAATATATTAATATATATATATATATATATGTGCATAAAAATGTTAAAGGCAGAAGTCAGAAAAATTTTAAATGCAGAATAACACAAAGAAGAAAACGCAAATAATCTTATAATCTTACCACCAGTGATAGCCACCGGTAACAGAGTAGCATATATGCCTGGTCTTTGCTCTATGCATACAAAAGAGATTTCTTAAATAATACAACCTATAAATGTCCATTGGATCCTTCCTTCCATCAAACAAGTAAGTGCGTAAGAACCTATCCTAAGGACACAGCCTAAAAGAATGTTTTCCCCCAAGACTTGCTTCCCCCAAAACTATCGAGTCTTGAGACAAAATAAACAAGCAAAAACTTAAGAACAGGACAAATTATTCAAATACCTTCTTTGTGCATGAATAGCGCACACGCTCACGCAAACACACGCACACACACGCAGAGGAAATATTTTAACAATTAAAAATTACTTCTAAAGTGGGAAAATTTCACTCAATACTTTATACAGCAAAGACTCTTCTGGTGGGACATTAATAATTAATTCTAAAATTGAAGCATCCTTTTAAAGGAAAGTTATCTTGCAATTAAATTTTCTGGAATTATCACCTCGATATGATCCTACCTTATTCTTGGAGTACATCAAGGAATTTTCTGAAATGAAAAAAAAAGGACGTTATCCCTTAAATACTGTTTGTAAATTACTCCATAGTCAGAGTATAAATATCAAGCCAATAATACATTACTTTCTAGAAGATAGTACTTTGACTTGAACAACATAGCAAACATTTAAAAATTTCACCCTTACAGTATCCTTATAGACAACTAGATGATTCCAAAATCCTCAACCCAACACAACATACCACAGCCACAGAGGTGAGTCCGACCTAATTTCCCCAGTCATCTGTTTCTGTGCAGACCTCCAAGTGTACTAACCACTGCAAATTCACACATGGCTACCTCGGAACAGCTCCTGTCCCAGAAACTCGTGGTAAGACTTAAGTGAGACTGCTCTCTACTACATTTTCTTCATTTGTTAGCCTGAAGGAGTAAGCGTTTCCATTTCAGGAGCTAGCAACTGAATCAAACAACAACACAAGTGGCAAAAATTTAAAGACTTTAGATTATTTACCTATCCTCAAACCAGACAAATAGCAAAACAGCTTCTTCATTCTTGTTTTCTATTTCAATAAGAATGAGTAACATTTTTATTGGTTTAGTAAACAATTTTTTCTGGCACATTTGCTTAAAATTTTTTTTCTTAGCAATTTGAAAAATTCCAGAAAAATGCTTTTGCCACAAAGTAAAGCATTAACATATGCCCCCCCCCACCCTCGCCACACACACACTATAAAACACCAATGCTGCCAAGATTTCTTATCAAGAGGTACTTTGTTCTTCTCAGAACAGTTAAAAGGGCAAATCAAAAGAGCGGGCAATAATTTAAGTCAGCCACAGAGTTGTGAGAAAAGTCAGGAAGTAAACAAACTTCAATCATCCAGCTGCCCCGAGGCTTACTCTCTCTTTATGTCTGTCATCCTTTCATGTTGCCTTGGATACCAACACCCACTCCCCAGATCTTACAGGGGTGGATTTCTTAGCTGAAGCACCCTTGCTCAATTCAAAGAAAGCCTGGTTAAGTCATGGTTTTCCATTCAACACAGTGAGCATCAACTGCGGCCGATCGCTGGCCTTCTTTACTCTGGCCAAAGAGAAACGACCTCCACCGTATTTGTTACTCGTCTGTGTTCTAATTTAAAGTAATATTTTCAATTATGCATTGAAAGCTGATGAACTTCAAAAGGTACTAGTGTAGTATTGTTCAATAGAAACATAATGCAAGCCAAAGTGTGTGCCACACGTGTACTTGAAAATCTTCTAGAGCAGCCACGTTAGAGTAAAAGAAACAGATAAAATACATTTTACTATTTTAAACCAACACACCCCAAATATATTAAACCAATATACCCAAAATATTTCCACATATAATGAATATGAACAATTACAACCTTGGTTTATATGAAGTCTTTCAAACCCAGCGCATAGTTTATGTTTCCGCTCAAATCACATTTCAGGTGCCCAATCGCCGCCTGTGGCTACTGGCTAGCTAGAGTTCTAAACAGTGCATGTTTTGAGTCGAATAATGATTCCTAGGGATCACTGTATACCTAGTATTGTCCTTTCATGAATTACATAAGAGATTAAAAGACTGATGAAGGATGCTGAGTATAAAAATGGATGTAGATAGAGATACTCTTTCTCATCACTTGGATAAAAATTTCAAAGGGCTTATAAAAGTCTAGAGATTTTTCTCTAAAATATAGGTTATAACTATAATCTAAGGCACAACTAATGAATTTCAGAAGCCAGAGGAAGTAATTGTTCGCACAGATGGGAAATTAAATAATCATCTCTGTCTTTTTCTGCAAGACCACGTAGTTTTAGAGCTGAAAGGATTCAATGCTAGATTCCAATGATTATAAAACTGAGTTTAGGTGACTTGATCAAGACACACGAGTGCATCTGTCACTGAATATTGAGAAAAATATATTCATTCAGAGTAAAAAATTCATTAGTTTTAATTATTCTTTTTCAAATAACATTACCTATCCTGTGTGTCCTTTGTGCACCTACATAGGTATCAAAAATTCGCTGCAATTCACACTTTCCAGTCATCTGTCGTAAGAGCCATTTCATCCAAAATCGAAAAAAGTGCCCATAGAAGAAGTCCCACAAGGAAATAAACATTTTTTTTTTCCTGGAGAAAGAAATATATGACAGGTTTAATTACCTTAAACTGGATTTTAAAATGGAAAAAAAATTTGTTTATCCAACTTACCAAATCTCAAATTATAATATCTATTATGCTATACCACTGTAGAAGTGTTTTAGGAATCTAAGGAAACAATGACAGGTGTAATATATACTATTTAGATTAAATGATGGCTGGTCAAATGGCCAATTTATCACTTGTAAAAAAAAATAACTGTCAAATCACAACTACTTACTTAAAGTTCTCAGTTCCTTATTTTAATTTTTCATTCTTTGAGATTTGGGGCTCAACAGTTCACGAACAAAAGGAACCCAAACTAAACAACAATTAAATAAAATACCCCATGTATCAGAATTGTTATTATAAGGAATAAGCTTTTCTTAATCTCTTGTGGATGATTCCAGTTGCATCTATTCCTGTCAGGTGATGCCAGCAAATAAAAACACTACACATGGCTTACAAACTCAAGTACACAAATTGAGCACCGAGTAGATCAAATCCTGGCTAAGTCTTGATTTTCCTTCCAACAGGAAGGACTGATTACTAGAGGGAAATGAACTACGCCTTCAATAAAACGGAATCTTTATGTCATAAGACAAACCTTCAGCTCCTAAATGAAGCGCGATGGTGGCAATGCGAGTGAGTAATTACTTAACAATAAACAAAAATGCTCATCTCCTTCCTGCCTTAGACATTCCCACTTATACATCCTCTCTAGACCAGGGCCTGTGAGATTGTCAGTTTCGAAATCCCCGCAGGTCGGAGCAGAAACGGTGCTCATCGGAGATGGGCTGAACTGGAACGTGACCGTGACCCATCGAGACAAAGGAACTGCCAAGCGGAGGGAGAGCAAGCCTCGCGGCGCCTGAGCTCCCCAGACCTGGGGAGTCGCTGCGCCGAGGGCCCGTTTCGGAGCCCGGCTCCATCGCTGCCCGCGAGCGGGAGGGAACGGCTCGCACAAAGCCCCGCCGGCCCGGCGCCCCGCGGCTCTGCTGTGGGACACCGCGGGGCTCGCGCCCCCGCACGGAAGCAGCACGGGGCGAGAGGAAAGAAAGAGCAGCCACCTCACAGGAGCGGAAGAACTAGGGGAAGCTGGAGTCTGCCTCGGTTTCCCCAACTGCAAACAGCCGGCAACGGAAACGACGCTACTCGCACTGCGTTCCCCGCTAGCACTGTGACCCGGAAATTGGGGAGCGAGGCAACGGGAACGCCTTACCCGAGACACTGCCCGCCCTGCCCCGCCCCCCGACCTCCTCTGATTGGTCCGTGCTCCACCAATTGCTAACGCCGCAAGAAGGTCGAGCAGAGTTGCTTTGGCGCGCGCGTGCAAGTATTGAAAGGACGCTAGACGGTTCCCTAGCAACGGCTACCTGGAGGCACGCCCCGCCCCGCAGATTGGTCTCACCTGGCGCTGCTCTGGATCCTTCTCTCGCGGTCTTTTGAGCAAGTTGACACAGTGCGCGGCTTCTACCCTCCAGGCGTAGCTATCATTGAGCTTTCACCCACATTGAATCTTCATTCCGTGTATTTTCCACCTGCCGTTCACATACACGGAGGGCCGACATAAATTCTACGTGGATTTTCTACTGTATATTGGACCCCAACCCCACGTTCAAAGGTCAGCTGTAATTATGAATGGTCCCACTTTACGGATGAGGAAACAAAACGTTTAATAACTTGCTCGTGGCTAATCAGTGGCAGATAAGGAAGTCCTATATGCTGAGGAAAGAAGCGTGGACTTAGTACTATAATAATAAACATCTAACAGTTAATTCATCAAACATTTATTCCTTAACTGGTTGTTTTTCTTGACAAACGTATGTACTGATTTTAAAAAGTCATCTCTTAATTTAAGCATTTGTTGTTTGCCTGTTATGTACCAGTCAGGTTTCCAAAAGGTAGTCTTACAGTAAATAAACACAGATATTTATCGACAGGTGGTCCTAAAATAAGGCATATGGGGAAGGGAGTTTTTACATACAGGTAGTCAGGGGAGTCTCTGTGTTAAGGTGACTTTTGAGCAGTGTCCAGATGAAGTAAGGCAGTGAACCTTATGAGTGCTTTCTATTCTAGACACTATAATGGCAAGTTCAAGGGCCTTGAACCAGGAAGATACTTCATAAATTGGAGGAATAGCAAGAAGGCCAGTGTGGCTGCAGGAGAAAGAAGGGAAACGCAGAATGTAAGTACAAAGGACAATTTATATTGAAAAATACTCCCCACCAAAACACACACACACACACACACACACACACACACACACATACACACACACACATACAC